CAGGCGTTAATTAATTACATTAGTTAGTTTCACACAAATCACAACTGCACAAAATGCCACAAAATACCAAATGGAAGTGATTTTATCTATTGCCAAGGGTCCGATCACATCTGAGAGTTGCTGCAAATGCCAAATGTATTAATTGTAGAAACAGAAACAGACAGCTCCTGCTGCAGGTCAAGCAAGCCGGCCAATTCGATAGAGACTGCAAAATAATTACATGAAATATATAATGTACCCTGTACGAAATGGAAGTGAGAATGGAGTGTGATAGAAGACTTTAGATTTTACTTATGAATACAAATAAAATATTTAAATGGTATCTGTATACCAATATGATATGCTTGACCTATTTGGAAGACATCATGCCATATATACAGTTTTTTATATGCTTGACTACATATTTTCCTTATATATTTAAGAGAATAACTGACCTAAAAATCTTTATCTCAATAGAGGTAACTGCATGATATATATAACTGTTGATTAATCAATATTTTATTCCCTTAAATCACATTATCAATTAAAAAATGTCTTTCAAAGTATATAGAATTTAGGAATTTGGAATTTGAAATCGAAACGAAATATTTTAAGCATCAAGCTATTTGCCATATATGTATATAGAGACATAGTAGTACATATTGATGCACATAGTAGTACATATACATATAGAATATATAGTTCATTTTTTCATTTATTCCCAGGGTATCTCAATATCGATCCTTGTCAACTATGGAAAACTAATTTCTTATCATTATGCGTAGCTTTGACACTTAGTAAATGAATTTAATAATATTATTAAATATTAAGCTGATTATTTCATAACGAGCATTATATTTGTATATTCGGAAACTAAGCTCATTGGTTGATGTGTTTTTAATTATATAATTACTATTTATTAAATTGCTATTAAATTCATAATGTGTAAAATTAAAGCTAAAATAAGTCAATTAGAATTAAATAAATAAGTTGTGAACGATTTTTTTCCTTTAATTTAAATTATCCTTACTTTACCTAACATCAAGTAATTTATATTTTCTTTCGCTTTTTTTTTTAATTTAAATGATTTTTATTTTTATTTTTGTATTATTATTGTAAATTACTTAAATCATCTCTAAGCATAGTCAACTAATTTTGTATTTCTTTTTTTTTCAGTTAAAGACGAGTCAAAATAAATATGCTTCTCATTTGGTAGTCTTTCTTGTCCGTTTGTATATTGATGCAGATGGCCTCATCACAGCATCACAGCCAAAATCAAACACATTTAACAAGTCATTTGGCCCTCACTTGAGTCGTCTATTCGATGCACCCTTCCATCGATGGCAAACGGAGCTTGAGCTTCAATTGCAGCTGGCGAGAGCAAACACTTTGGCAATTTGACTTTTGGTCAGCACTGTCAACAGCAGCAAACGCAAACACACAGGCGATAAACAGAGACAGACAGAGCAATAAGTACCACAGAGAGCGAGAGAGAGAGAGGTAGATAGAGGCAATCAAAGCTGGACAGCGTGGGCGTTTAGACTGCTAGAGAGTGTGCATGCAGCTGGATGCCTCAGTGTTGGTACATTCATTAATTTTGCCACAAATTTTTGCAATTAAAGTTTGCTGTTTGTTTATCTGTTTTGCCACCAACAGCAGCGACGCCAGCGAGTGGGAAAGTCTCATGAAAATCAAGCGCACTGAACACGAAGTCAATAAAACTTTTGTGCTACTTAATGCGAATTTATAGTGTAAACATGCACACACTCATAGAGAGAGTCATACACACACACACACACACACATAGCTAACGGTACTGGCTGGCATTATGACTGTGTTGACAAAAACGACAAAATTGCGTTACCAACAATTGCATAACAATCATTTCAAGTTTTCCGCAAATTGTAAAATAAAAAAAAAAAAATAAAAAAAAAAAATGGAAGCGAACGCAGAGCAAAGTTTTTATTGTTATTATGAAAAGTACAACAAAACCGAGCGAGAGCAGGCGACGTCGGCAGCAGCAGCGCTTACTTGCTTTCTGGTCTGTGGTCTCTCCATATAAAACAAAATGGCCGCACATCCTTTTGCCAGCGCTCATTTTGGCACCCCGGACTCGACAGTCACCGACATTCGCATAACTATGCAAAATTGTTGTCCTTGTACCCGCTGGCATTGTTTTGTTTAGCTGCTGATTTTGCTTTGTTTGTGCATATGACTTTGCTTGGAGGTCGCAGGGGCAGGACAGGATTTGCTGCTACTGTTGATGTTGCTGTTGTTGCTGTTGTTGCTGTTGTTGCTGTTGTTGCTGTTGGTGTTGTTGCTGTTGGCTGTGGTGGCAACTGTACGTCAATTGCGGTCCGTTTTGTGGCTTCCGTTTGTTACTTGCAATTCCTTTTTGGCAATGCCACCAAGCTGTGTGTGCGGGAGTCCATCTCCCACAACCCTCCCTCTCTCTCTCTCTGTCTATCTCTTTCTCTCCTTCCTTTCTTCATTTGGCTGGCACTGCGGATGTCTGCCATCAGCTGACAGCGAACTTTTACTGGCTGCTTGCAACTTTTACAACTTGGCCCCGGCTTAGTCTTTGTTGCAGCTGATGATTTTTTAATTGCAACTACTTTAAGCTATGGCTCCCGGACGCTGCCATTGTGCGCTTCATTAACACACAGCACAGCCAGCCATCATCTGGGGATGACAATGCGTTTACACTGCTTAGCAAAAGTTGAGTTGTATTTGAGATATTTGTTTATTTGTATTTCTAATTTGTTTGAAGCAATTCGGGGTAATCTAATAATAAGAGCAACACTTAACCATCTCAATTCCAGCTTACCTTACCTCGCCTGCATCACGCTGCTTTGGCCGCTGGCCATCTCTGACGCTCTGCTGCGCTTGAAGTCTAATCTATAATCGGCATTTGGCTAGCGCGGAGCCAGCTGTCATGGCCAATTGGCGGCCAAAGGACCAAGGTATGCGCATTAACCAACGCCCGGCAAGCGTGGGGACAATCTGGTTATGGCGGTCAGCTCATTGGCATTATTATGAGCAGCTGGCGCTGGCATTGGCTGTGCGCATTATGCATGCGCCTTGAGACAGCGCCCGGGCGGGCTGAGCTGATTGGCAAATTGAGCGGCTATTTGATGTTGACGGCTGCTGCCACCGTTAATGCGGCTGCTCATGCCACAGTCGCACAGTCAGAGCCGAGGCGGGGCCAGCAGTCAAAGCTATTTGGCCTAATTGAATCACAAATTTCATACGGCGCGCTGCTTATTTACGTTTATTAATGCGCAGCTCAGGTCGAGAATTTAATGCAATTCATGTAAATATTGATGGCCAGAAATTTAATGTAGGAGATCTTTAATCTTGAATGAAAAACAAAAAAATAAAATAAAAAATAAAATAAAAATAAAATAAGTAATAATAATAGTGTACATGAATAAATTGCTTAATTTTGAAGTCTAGATAAAACTTTTTTTAATTAGAAGATTGTTTCATTGCGATTCTTTTGTCATATCCCTCACCAAGTTGCTTTTATGCAAGGCTAGAGCAAGATTAAGCTTAAGATAAATGCAAGTCAGGTGTGTGTGCGAATGGAAATGCAATGCAAAACTTAATGTAGGTAAGGAAGCATAAAATAAAAACAACAAAGCAAAAATCTGCTAAGCCAAAGTAAAACTATGTACAAAGAAAGAAAGAAATAAGCAAAAAAATAATCGCTGAAGCAAAGAGCAGCCGCAAATGTTTGTAGAAATTCAAACAAACTGTGAGAAATAGAATGCACACATGCGTAAAGAGTGGCTATAACAAAAAAGAAAGTCAAAGGCGAAAGAGAAAAAAGTAGATAATAAAACTTAAATACTCTTTAAAATAAATCGAAAAAAAAAACCTAATATACACTAAATAAAAATTATTCAATAATGAAGTTCTACTTATATTTTATATAACTTTTTGCTCATTAAAAAAATATTTATATTATGTTTACATAAACATTTATAATGAATTATGTTTTATATTAAAAAAATATATAAAAATATATATGCAAATTGATATATTAATATTATTATCATTATTATTATTAATTTTAGTTAGATATTTTTTAATTTTTTTATTTATTTACTTTTTTAATTTATACATTTTTTTTTAATTTATACATTTTTTAATAAATTTGTTTTTACCTTTTGTTATGGTGAGATTCAAAAATATTTCAAATTAATTTATAAAATAAAACTTGCAAATTTTAGATTTTTTTCTATAATTTAAATAAACTTGTACTTTTATTTGTTACATAAATAATGGCAATCGACTAATAACTAATGAGCTTTCTCTCACGCAAAAGTGTATAAGAAAGTCCACAATTGGTTTTCTTTTAGGGCTCCCTAATGGATTTCTGACCATAATTAACCCAAACAGGAAAGGGTCAGAGGATGGCGAGTGGTGCGAAAGTGTTGATGCCAAGGCAAGTGGCAAAGGCAATGCTTAAAATATATATATAAATATCTATATACATACAAATACATTACGCATTTATATAGAGGCCAAGTCATGCGTGGCAATTTCGCAATGGCAGCTGCGTCCATAACAATATGCCATGGCCTCTGGCTTCCTGTGCCCACATCTTTGGGCCGTGCCCAGGAAGCGTCATTCAATGACATTTCTCATGCGTGTGAATTTATGGCCTGGCCGGACCCAAGAACAACAAAAATGTACGTTAGACCCTCGAGCAGTGCGGCGTATAGAGCGTATCAAGCATCAGGCATTTTAAAGGCAACCCTCGGAAGTACTTTAACTATTTGCAATCGTAAAAAGCCAAAGTTTCTGGCCACACATAAATCATTTCCCCTAAGCATTTATGTTATTTATAAAAAATTTTTATTGTATTTGCCGAAGAATTTGCAGAAGATGCTCTAAACCAGAGCCAGTGGTCGTAAGCACGCCTGGGAAATGTCGTAATAGTGCCGCAGCTCCAATATAAAATACATGAAACACACACACACAGACACAGACACTCGCAGACACTCGCACACATGCACATAGTCAGATATTGTGTTGAATATCTATAAGCAAAAGTATCTGTTTCAATTTGCATATCTTTGATTTCCAGCTTCAGTTTTGCCTGTCACTTGTGCGCTTGGCAAAACTTACCGAGCAGCTGTAGTTGGCTATTGTCCTTGTTATTGTTGTTGTTGGTGTTGTGCCTCAGCTGCTTGTCAGCATAATTCTCCAAGGACACACAACAATACCACAAAGTTTTGGCGCTAAGCTTAAGAGTTTTCGGCCTTAGCCTGCGGGACTGTGCCTCTGCCTGAGGATCTGCCTGTGCCGTGTGGCTTTACAGCCAATATGCGTAACTAATACGGGAAAACCATTTCATTTTACGTTTGACTAATAGAAAGGATTCATTATGAATTATACATATGTGTGTGGGGCTCAACTCTTTCGGCCCGTCCCAGCATCTTGGCTGGATTGCGTGCCAAGGATAAATTTGCTTTGCGTACGGGTCTCAAAAGTAGCTGCAGGAGAGAGAGAGACAGAGAGAGAGTGTGTGCGTGTGCTTGTGCCTGTGTACGGTATTATAATTGTGAGCTTTGGCCTTGGCTTTCGTTTGGCCTGGCCCCAGGCACTTGGGCCGTGACAACAATCCCCTGGCTGGCAGTTTAGAGTGGCTAATTTTCAGCGGAGATTTCCTAGGCTAACTGGATTAGAATTGATGAACTTTATGTGGGCAAAGGGTCAAGGGCTAAGTTCTAATACCCTGTAAACATAAAATGTGTGAAGTGCTATAATATGAATACGAACTGCACGGATGTGGACTATTTCATCCAACTTCAAATTGAACCTCGTACCTTGGAATTAGTCATGCAGTGATATCTCTGGCTTGACTATAGGGTATGCCTCAGTCAAATGCACTTTGTGGCACACTTCGTTCCACATTTATTATTTATGAGCGGTGGTCGGTGCCTTGCCAAGTAAACTGGTTGACACTTTGGAACCTTTGCAAATTTGATTTGTTAAATAAATGGGGCGAGATTTGCCTCTCCAAGGGGTTGAGCTATTTGGGCTTTCTATTTGTGCTTCTTATGAGTAATGAAAGCAAATCAGGCATATAAGATAAATCATCAAACCAACTAAATGTGAAGCACGAGTAAGATTAAGTAGATTTCTGTCACTGAAATTGGGTTTTATTTAAGATCATATGTCTATATATTTATATATAGAGTTCTATTTGTGTTCAGAGAAGAAATCAGTGCACAGCTTCAATCAAACGAATAGGTTTGAGAAATCGGGTTTAGTTTATTTAGTTTAGTTTAAGCAGGCTGTCAATAACAGTTCCTTTTTTTTTTAATAATAATAAAACGTTTAAAAAATTTGTTGAAATTAGAGGAAAATTAAAATACAAAATATTTCTTTAAAGTAAACAAATATATATTTAATTATAAACAAACTTCAAAAACAACCTAAATTTATTAGTTTATGTGAAATTTAAAAAATAAAATAAAATAAAATAAAATAAAATAGACAATTGAGTAAAAGATATAAGATTTGAGTTAAAGTAGAGTTGAGTATATTTATACCATATATTGTTACCATTTTAATCTAATCTTTCATATAATGAACTAAAAATATCACGGAATTAATTAACTAAAACATAGAAACTTACCCAAAAGCCCCTTTGAATTGTCACAGGTACAAATAAATTTCTTGTATCGACTATGAACTTGAAGATTTTCGGACTTGGCCCCCCACTGGCTTGGCGGCAACCCATTTATTTGCTGTGCCATAAATAACTCAAAGACAATTGCGCTGGGTAGTCGAGTGTATGCACAAATGCGAAATGAAAGCTAAAACTATGTTTGATATTAATTGTCAAGGCGGTTGCGGGCAGTGGGTATGAATGCATGAGTGACTGTGTGCGTGTGCGTGTGTGTGTGTGTGGGTGGAAGGGCGTTTTGGGCTGTTGCCTGGTATTGCTGTAGGGTTTTGAAGATGTGCGGTCATTAATTTCCGGTCAAGTGGCCAGCAGACATTCATAATTATTTATTTAGCACACAGCAGATTGACCAAATGCACACGTGGTTGTTGCCTGCGGCCTATGTGTGTGTGTGCGTGTGTGTGTGTGTGTGGTTAGCCAAGGTGCTGAAATGTTTACTTTGTCAGCCAACAACTGCGAGTCAAAGTTAATGATGCATAGCACTTGCGGTTGCCAGCGTGCAGGAGTGTCGCCCCATCTGTAACCTTGCCCTGCGTGGGGCGGGGCGGGTGAGGCGTGAGGCGAGGCTGGGCGGAATGGGCGCTTGCAATTTATAGATCGTAATTGCAACAATTTCGTTGCCAGGCTGCCTTTGAGCGCGCACGTTGAACGTTTTGATTTATCCGCCAAATGCACTCGGCACTCAGTTCGATTTTAATGACATGGCAGGCCTGGCTCTGGCTTTGGCTGAGATCCAATCTATATGTTAAAACAAAGAGTGCGACTAAAAGCAACCTTCAATTTGCCCAATAGCTTGGAAATAATTTATAACATTTTCCAGTTACGTATGTGACTCGACTTGGAGTCGGCGCAGAGCTGCCCCAAGGACACGGCATGCGTCCTGCCGCCGGCCAATGCAAATGCCAGATACCAGCAAAGCAAAGTCACCTTTCATGCTGCTCATTAAATGCGACTTTATTTTGCCGTCCTCTCTCGCTGGCAGCGCGACTCCATGTCTACTTGGGCCATATCACATCATGTCAGCGGAAATAACTCGGCACAGCAAATCAACAATCTGCTGACAGTTGCTTTAGCGCATTTCTATTTTTCGGCTCAGTTGGGGCCAATTTCATGGTTGGCAACATTTCGCTTGCGCTCATAAGACAAATTAAAAAGTTTCTGTTGCCAGCGACCCGGCCAAAGTGCTTAGCATTATTAAAAGTTTTATAATTTATCAAATATTCTAGACCGCTCTTTATTTCTTTCGTTTCTTTTTATGTTCTTCTTATTATTTTCAGTGTTGACGAGAATTGTTTATCGGACACATAACTGACATTGACATCCGCTGAATGTTTGGGCAGCTGTTGGCCGCCATTGTAATTGGCAAGTGTTTTCGGTCTGCCAGTGGAATCGATAGCCGTATTATAAGTAGCCCGCTGATGGCTCCCATTCGAGACAACATACAACAACAAGCAGTCAGTTCATTTTTTATAGATAAGCAGACACCTTTGTTTCAACAGCCAACAGCCAGCCAAGCCAGTCAGCCAGCCAGCCAGCTGGTGCGAGTGGAGTACGCATTGTAGCTGGCTCAGATCCTGAAGTTGCTGATGCCGTACGCCGTACGCTGTACGCCGTACGCTGCACGCCGTAAGCTGTAAGGTGTACGGTGTACCTGCCACTCAGTGGCCATCAATCTTGTGCTATGATAGCGTCTGACAGGCAGCTCGTAAATCTCGACGCTATCTCTGGCGCTTTTTTAGAGGCTGTCCGTGCGTTCCCATTTGCGTGGCTGTCAGTTCTAGACGGCCAATACACATGAGACCCAGTTAGAGCAAATCAAATCAAACGTCCAGCTCGATGAGTTGCCCCACCACTAACTAGGCATGCGCTGAGCGTGGGTGAGTGGATCTTCTGCGCCTATAAATACTTTTAGCTCAAGGTAAATTGGCGATAAAAAATAGGTTTGACTATCTTAAACTATATTTAGAGTCAGGAGTTAAGTAATCGATATTTAATTTCAATTAAATGCAGTCTTATTACATATAAATATAAATCAAATTTATTATAATTTAATATTAATATATTCATTTGGTAATCTGTCCTTCACGGTCTTCTAAAAATCATTATTGGCTTGTAGATTATTTGGCTTATGCCACATTTGGAACTCGAGTGGAAAGGTTAATAGTTAGTGGCGCACTGCATCAATCGGGTTCGGCTCTGTCGAGGGCTTAGAAGCACAGGAGCTGCAGTTCACAGTTTCACTGGCAGTTGCAAAATTGCAGGGCTTTTGCAAAATTAATCAATGGTTGACCGGTCAAAGGTTGCATTAGTCGAGTAGATACTGTGCAGCAAATTCAATATTATGTCAGGCGCTCTGCGCTTGAGTCTCTATCTGTGTGTGTGTTATAGCATTGTGTGCAAACGTTGCGTATACGCAATATTAAATAGCCTGCCAAGGGAAGGGCCAGGACAATGCAGTGCTAACAAGGTAGCTGCACAAACGAACACACACACACACACACACACAGTCGCACACACTATTATGTGAAGCAAAAGGTGCGTTTGGCATTTTTGATAGAGTCGTCCTTTGAGGATACGGGCATAAAATGTGCGCCAGGACGATTCCATTTAAGGCGTGTTATTAAGTTGCATGCAATTAAAATTACGCGCGTAATCAGAGCGAGAAAGATAAATTCGCGTTATAAATATAATTCGCGCTTGGCTCACGCATGCCTTCAGGCTAGCAGCAGCAGCAGCAGCAGCAGCAGCAACGGATCCCCTGTTACGCTATACGGCACAGCTCTCCGGCGTATTCGCGCGCGCAATCAGGCTGCCGCACCAGGGGCTAATTAATTTCGCCACTTTACTCCGTTACTTCGTCTCCAGGGAGTGGCTACACTGTATTCTGTATGTGTGGGTGAGGTTTTTTCTATTCGACTGCGTTCTACATTTGTATTATATATCTAAGTACGGTAATACTCTGTACAAGATTAGACAAAAGGTATTAAGAAGATAAAAAATATTAAAATATAAAATATAATATACAAAAATAAAATGTAAACTATAAACTATAAAATTTAAAATAGAAAATATAAATATAAAATAAAAAATAAAAAATATAAAATATAATATATAATATATAATATATAAAATATAAAATATAAAATATAAAATATAAAATATAAAATATAAAATATAAA